TTCACTGAGGTCCTGGAGCTGCCATGCCACGGCCTGAGGCACAACTGGACCCTCAACCTTTCTGGACCTGCCTCACCTACCAGATGGCTTCTGGTGGCTGCCTGCAGAGCACGGCTGCCAGCCCCCCACGTGCACGTACGTGTTTCGTTTCCACAAAGCATCCTGGGCTGCAAGTGTAAGCAGCTGGAAGAAGGCTTTCGTACTCATCTGTTATGTGGCTGCGAGTCTAGAAGGAATCCATTTCCTTGCAGCAGCCACTCTACCTTGTAGCAATTAATGAGTCATTAAGCCCAGGCAGCACCAGGCCTGCCGGTGGTCTCGTGTTGCCCCCCCTATCCCCATCGACGTGGGCACAAAATGCTTCATTTTACAGAGGTTACAAGTGTCAGACCGGGTGATCAAACCCAGGAAATCCCACGTCCGCAGCCAGAGGTGACACAGCCTGACCTGGCAGTCCTGCCGCTGCCATGGGCCTGTCACTGCTCCCCCAGGGCCACGGAGCCCGTGGCTGGCTGGCTCTCACACGCTTGCCTATTACAAGGTCGGGGAGAAACACAGAAGGAAAGGAAAAAAAAATTAAAAAAAAAAAAAGGGAAAAAACCTGAGACCTGGATAAAGCACCTCTATTCCAGGGAACCCTTCACCTCTGAGGACTGAGCTAAAACCCAGCCGACCAACTGCTTTAGGGACACTCAGCCCTCCTGACCGGCTGGTTCAAATGGCCCTGGACCAGCTTGCAGGCTTCAAAGAGTCCCACCGCGAGGTGCCCTGCAAATCCCACCTTCCCGTTTTCACCTCTCCTTACCCTAACACATTACCTAGCAATGGGATGTGAGGCTATGAGTTTCATTAGATGACAAATTACTTAAAAACCACAGGTGTTCTGACAGGAACATAGCCCTGCATAATCATTACTTGAAAAGCGTAACCCAACTTTACCAGTGACATACACCTCAGAGAGTGAACGTGAACCACCTGTATGGAAAGTCTCCGTCCAAAGCACAGATACATCTTGCTTAGTCATAAAAACTTTTTTTTTTGACAATACTGTAACTTAATAATTTACACGCTGAAACTGATCACCCAGTATTTGAAATACGTCACAGTGAGTTACAGTTATCACTAGGACTTCACAGCAAATAAAACTTGGAACTAAACATGCAAAGATCATTATAATATATACAGTGATAAAAAAATAACGATGTACATTTTCTTGTAAGAAGAAATTAAGTAAATTCTTTGTGCATTTCAGGATTGAAACATCTAACCTATATAAAATTACTGTAAAATATGAAGTAAATATTTAACGCAAAACTTGAGAAATCTTTTGTAATCTGCAATACAGCTTTCTCATTTCCATTTTTCTTTCTCTGACACAGAACAACGTAGGAATTTTATCCTCTAAGATATTTAATAGTAATGTGCAGATATAAAAAAATACGTCCTTTGTGGCAAGCTTGAACATATATATATATATATATTTACAAACCTCCAGAACAAATTAGCATTAAAAAACACAGAAGTAGCAGATTGACATAGTGCTTTATTTAAGCTGTCTGTACGAAGGAAAATAATGTGCATCCCTATCATATACGTGTAAAAATACTAAGGATGTACAGTGTACAAAAACAGTTTCTTGTAGTTATTTCACATCCTTGTGGGTCATATACTTAAGGAAATCAACAGTTTAAGTATGACCAACAGTAATACGGTTTCTTGGGTTCATAGTTGTGTCTGCTTAATATCCTTAACCATATGACTAGATCTTGCATGGATCTAATGAAAGAACTAGCAAGGTCAAGAAATGTCACAAACTCTAAAGCTACAGGGAGGTAATTCAATTACCAATTTAGAGGTTTTTATTTAAATAAATACTTTACATTTCATGCTTGCCTGTAATGCACTACCAGGAGCAAGATAAGGAAATTCTACTGTAGACAGTACAAACAGTAGCAGCAAAGTGTGTACATTGAGGTGTAATATATAGACCCTGCAGTTAGTAAGGAAAGACCTTACTTTTGTACTCTAGGAGAAGCACATGGCCCCTGCAAGAACAGTCAGCTTTAAGAAGCCGCAAGTAAAGATGGAAAAAAAACGTAAAACAATACTGGAATAAATGTTCTTTAAGCAACAGGAATGTACTGGAAGATGGATTAGTGTGGAAAGCAAAGCTGTGTGCAAAACTGCCGAAATCCAAACAGAAATGACCTATTTCCTCCGAGATGGCTGCAGGACAAGAGGGCATACTGTATGTCATGGAAGTCAGTACAAGCTGGAGACAAAGTCTGAAACGTACTGTGCTCCAAAGGCTCCCCAAGGTAACCAGCCACCACCTCCTGTCCACATCCAACCACAACTGCAAACAGCAAAAGATGACCTCCAACAGTTCCTCTCGGCACCGCTCGCCCATTTGCCTTTCATCCGTTTCTAACACTGGTAAGAGAGAGAATCTCCCAGCCCTGGGCAGCACAAAGTGACCGCCGACTCTCTCTGTAGCACGAACTTGATCGATGATGTTTTGGAAGGCAGGCAATACAATGCAAAGTGACGTCTTAAAGGTTTTCAAATAATTCACTGACAGACACTGACTGCAAACCGCATTCTAAGTAGCTACACGATGGTGAGCTAACCACAGGGTTTCTGCTGCGCGTGAGGAATGGCTGGCCAGCGGCATGGCGCCCGCTGGTCGTGAGCTAGAGGGGCCCTGTGTCAAGAAACTTATTGCTATTACAAACTGAAAACGTAGGGGGAAAACACAGGCATGTAACACAGATTTTGAATCACCATAGGTTTAGTCCGTAAGTACGAGGCCTTTGCAGAGAACTAATTAATGCCCTTCTGTTAAGTACTCAGTTATTTCAGTTGCTCACACGCTGTGTCAGTGGAGACACTTCGACGCTACCGGTGCAGAAGACACCTGCAACCCATCTGCTGTGCTCCTCTCTCTCCATAGAGGGATAATCTCTACAGGTGTTTAGTGTTACAAGGTGACAGAATGAGATCCTATGTAGTTCAAATATACACCATGATATATTTCCGGCTGATTATCCATCCGTTACTAAAGATAGAGCACAAAACACGAAAAATTGTCTAAATTAGTCTGCGTCTCTAGCTGCCTTGCTAAAACGCCCATCTACCCCTTGACCGTCCCAGCACATGCACTGCCAGCAGTGGGCTCCATGCTAGGGCACTCAACTTTCCGCATCAAGAGGCGAAGGCATCTGCATAGGAACATCTCTCTTTACAGACTCATCTACTCATTCACACAGTGCAACCAGTATCGCTCTGCGCTATCACAGTCTCCGTGGGAGCTAGCAAGATCCCAACGCAGAGATACTTCGAATGATAATCCCATGGAGTCGGGGTGTTCAGATGTCGTTAGCCAGGGTACAGGCACGCGACCACCGCGCTGCGTACCGTCCCGACTCCTAGCACCAAGGGGTTTATTATGAAGATTATAATTGCTGAAGATCAAAGCTAGTTTATGCACATGTTCTGTTAGATACAGATCTTCGGAGATGGAAAGACGTTTCCCTATCAGGGGAGCGTTTCTTGTGATATTTTAAATTCAGTCAATCGGGTACCACGGTTACATGTAACATGCCAGGTTTTGGGGCTCTTTTGGTTGAGGGCAAATCTTCCTTGAGAATGGCTGATCCCAGAAATTTACTATTTTAATTAATAAAGTAAAGTGCTTTTCTTGTAATCACTGTGGTCTCGTTGTTCAAATGCAATTCCTTCATATAGAACACAAATTTTCTGTTGTGCTGTCAGGCTCTTACATGACATTTATCCTCAATGGAGCACAGGATGTAGCTTTTTTTGTCCATTTGTTTTTAACCCTTTGGCAGATGAAGTTGGAATTCTTCATCTCCATTGCCAAACAATTAAAAGACAGTACTTCATTCACAAAAATCTGATTCTAAGCAGTATGTACAATTTCAGAGCCTTGTTAAAATTTCCACATGGGAGAAAAGTGCATTATTCCCTTCAGCTTGTACAGTCCTTCCATATATTACAAAATTAACTGCTATAAGCCTGTTCTATCTAAGATGTAGCAGCATTTGCAAACATGACACATACAATCCTTATCTCTAAAAATAAATACTACTGCAGTATAACCAAAAAAAAAAAACCAACCCAAAAAAACAACAAACAAAACCAAAAAAAACCCCAACAAACCCACCTGGAGAAAAAGCTAATTCACAAACTCAAAATAAAAACGAATAAGGCAAACACCTGTTTACCTTGGTGCACACATTTTGGTGAAAAGCAATACCATTATGCCTGTCTACATTCTTCAGCCATCAGAGGTGATGTATATCATGAAAGAAAAAGAAAAGCATGAGAAAGATGTTATCTGGTGCAAATTATAAGACCCCTTAAACAACTTCAACTGCTGCTTTTATGCCTTCATTTCTTGCATGTATAATGTTCTATTCTCCATGATTGCACGTGAACCTGGAAGTTCTAAGTGACAGGCTGGATGAGCCCAGCCCTTCTGCTTCTTCTGTAGTATCCAACAGTAATTAAAAAATTATATATATATATATATTTATATATATCAACAGTTTAAGTCCTTCTCTCAAACGTTTCCCAAACAAATTCCAGCCAGATGTTAATGACAGAGACCTGCTTCAAGTAATGATATGCCTAACAAAAACCTTGCATATGTACATCACCACCCCTATGTTTCCTCGTTCTAACCAGCACAAACAGATGCAAGAAAGTGTTATTGACTAGTCTTTTTAGACTAATTACAATTTTGATTCATCTTCTGGAAGAAGATAAGCTGGACCACCACATTTTTTGTTTAGCCTCCACTGTGAGGATAAATAGATGACTACTTGTGCACCAAGCGTACAATGCTGAAGTCAAGTCATCTACCTCCAAAGACACCGTTAGGGACTTCTTGACGTTGCTATTATACTGAGACTGTGGGCAGCAGCAGGAGAGCGTAGTAGAGGAAAATCTCATATTTCATGCAAAACCAAAATGGATTTTAGGTACGTCTGGGAAAGAAACTTGTTCAATTTGGAACAGTCTCTGAAAGTGCCCCTGCTATCTTAAATAGTATCTAGTACTGGTGGTGATGTTCAGGAATCATTTTCAGTGATAAACCTAAGATGACAGTGAAGCAGCAGAACAAAAAAGTTATTCTCGTCCACTTGCAGAGTAGGAAAACTGGGGGAAATGCGGCCGCCTCTCATTGTCCATGCAGTCCATTCCATCCTCATCATCTGTATTAAGGGAGAAGTTCAAAATGTCATTATATTTGCAACTCAGTTTTATTACTCACCTGACACGCAGCGCAGCTTTTGGGGTTCAAGTTAAAGGCTCACGTTCAAGACTTCAGGCACACAAGCTTACACTTACACAGCAGGGTGGTGCTCGCTGAAAGTGCACCCTTCCAGTAAGCCACCGCTCATTTCAGGGTGGGTCGGCTGGGTTGGTTGGTTCATTACAACGATCCCCTGAGAACTTCAACCATGACTACCTGCTCTAGGCTAATCAAACACACCAGCATGTCTGGCTGCTGGCAGCACAGATGCCGATTGCTGATAGAAGCAGACAGTTTTTGCTATTTCTTAAGCTGAGTTCAGGAAATCATAATCTTACTGTAGAACTATGTAAATATTCCTCCATTTCTAAGGGAGTCAAAAGGAAACACAGCTACAAAATGAACAATTCATGCAGGACCTATGTATTTCAATTCTTACATATTATTTTTTAGTAAACAATTTTTACAGTATTTACTGGGATCAGAGGGAACATGGAAAAAGCCAAATTCATGACTATTTTTATTTACATAATTCCCACATTGCAAATGGAAATCAGGCACCAGATCTTGCCTAACTCTCAGAATTTGGATCTACGTTCTCACATGGATTTTTTAACACTGCTTATCCTTAAAGACTCCTGTTGAAACTGTTGTTCTAACAATGTAGTTACACACAACCTTTCAGAATTATGTATCTTTTTTATCTTCATATATTCTACATAGAGAAACTAGAGTTAATGCAGGTTTGAGCAATGGCTGTGATAAGGCTGCTTGGCTTCAACAGCACCTCTTGGTTCTGTAACTTGAAATACAATCTCCTTTTTACACTGTCAATTTAAATTAGGTTAATGTACAGAGCCTGCTTGTTTGATTACTGTAGATAGAAGATATAGTTTCAATATTCACTTGGCATGATTTGTAAAACTTTGATATGTAACTCATCTAAATGTTATGAAAATTATTTCTGTAACTGTAAAAGATCTTTACTTCAGCAGTAACTTTCTGAAGCACACTTAGCAACCCTCCATCCCTAAAATACATTTTAACCCTCTTTTGCATAATCACATCAGGCAGAGGTGACACTGTATTGTAGATAATACAATTATTTGTAGATTTTAAAAGAATAATAATTTAAAATCACTTCCTGTTGCAATACTCAGAAAAGGGAAAACCCCATGTGGTCCTTGAACCACGGCAGTTCACTAAAAATGGCAGCAGTTCTCCAGATTTACCTGGCACAAGAGAAAATTCACCTTTGCGCTGCTGGCGATGCTACTTATTGCAGCCTCAGGGGAGGCAGCCCTGAGGAAAATCATTCAAGAACTCAGCAGCTCTGGCTTGGTGAGTAATTCTGTTAAGCCCTAGCTTGGCCAATCAGATCATGATTCTTGTGTGTGTAGCAGAAGATGACAAAAATACAACCCGCAGTGAAATTACATTCACTCCAACAAAGAAACTCTGTGCAAGGCCCAGTGCAGCGGTTACATCTCTATGAAGAGCTTCTTTAAGAGCTCTGCTGAAGCACAGGACTTGATACGAAATTTCATTTTCAAGTAATTGATGTCTACACAAGAGACGTCCACTTGTCTCTGGCAGCTCTTTTTTTTCTTTTTCTTTTGGTCTTCAAAGTATTTTAAAATATGCCTAACTCACTAAACCGGGACAACCCACTGGAGCCACTAGTGGTGTGCACGTGCATAAAGCAAAGTCCATCTTCCAAGTACTTTGCTGAACTGGGACCTTGACTGCCAACCAGCAAACATTTGAAGCTGGTGTTTTCTCTTATTTAAAAAAAAAAAAAAAAAAAAAGGAAAAAAAACCCAAACAAACAAACCCCAAACAAAATCAAAATCACACCAAAAATGCCCCAACCCAGAGTGATCCAATATTCCAAGCTTTGTAATTATGCCTTCTTTAAAAGAACACTGTCTTTGAGAGTTACTCTTACATACTTCCATATGAAGACTTCTATTAAGTAACAGTGAGAACAGCTTTTGCATTCAAACAGAAAAAAACCTTACCCAGTGCTTTATTATAAACTGAGTACTTTTAAATTATGCTTATGTATCATTTCTGACTTACATTTTTCAGGCGGCGTTATTGTAATAGTCTGAGCTGTAAATTCTTCATCAAAATACCTAGTGTCTGTCTCAGATGTCACTTGAGGTTTAAACGGAGGTACAAGCTGAAAGGGACCGAGAAACAAAATGAAATTACTATACCTGAAAGCAGCCAAATTACTATCAGGGAAAAAGTTCCTTCTTTTTCCCTGCACCTCAGATCAAACGAGTAGGTCTGTGGAGAGGCAGCCGAGTCTCTTACTTCTCATACGAGACAGAAGCCATTAGAATCCATCCTAGAAATATTAGTTCAGAATCTACCTATTAGCACAACATGGCTAAATTCCAAGTATCACTCTCACATGACTTGCAGATAAATTGACCTGCACAAAGATAATTACCTAGAAACTCTTCAGGCCATTCTAATTACCTGCATACATGTCAGGCAAAGACACCTCTAGGTTCTCTACCACAATGGGGTAGTATAAACAGCAAAGGCAAACAGGACTACACAGAGAGCACAGTAAGCACAATGCAGTTGTTTGGTTTTTTTCAGGGTTAAGGCCTACATCTGAACTTACCTTTAGAAGAAATTATGTGAATGCATAAATAAATTTTATCTTTTCAAAAACGCCAGTTTGTGCTTAAGTGAGCTATTGGATTCTAATCCTGCCTACTGCTTTCAGAGTACTGTGCAGTATTTCCCATCAGCAAATCACTAGTATTTGCTCACAGCCCGCAGGCAGGACCTCCTTGCCCCCCTTTTGAAGCAGCCTTGCTATCTGCCTTCTCCTCCAGAACAACCGCCTATAGGCTGAAGGTTTTAACTGGAAGGCATATTCAGTATGGAGCACCACACTGCGTGGTGCCAGTCCGAAACAATACAGCAGTTCAATAGGTACAATATTGTCAACGGTGGGGTGGGTTAGACAACGTTTTGGTTTATACCTTGGTGCCCTTTGGTGTTATCTCCTCATATGCCGTTTAAAGTACATACCCCGAAGATAGCATCTTAATTTCCCTTTCTATAGAAGAGGCTACATTACGGCTCACTGTTATTACCAGAGCTTGTGCGTGGTTTTCATTAGTTTTATGTTATTTCTCTCCCCAACTCCAGAACGCCAGCACCAAACAATGAATGTGTTCGTTTACCCCCCAGCTAAGGAAGCGGAACTGCTGTTAACCCCCCTCCCCTCCCCAAGTTCAATGCACTAGACACAATTTACGATATGCAATGTACACTGCAGAAACTCTTCATTTTGATGATAATTTTTTACAATAGTAAGACTCTTTGTTATTTTACTGTGTTCAATGCACAGGATTACTTTTTTTTTGTACAGCTTGGAGAGATCTGCATAAACTGGTGAATGTTAGAAGCAGCTCTGGATCACAGTGCTAACTGAAGGAGACTACACAATCCATAAACAGAGCCACCCGAAACCCCAGAAAGCTAGCCTGCCCTATGAGGGCTAGGCCATGTAAGTATGCAGTGCTGCACAACCAGCCAAAGAAAGAAGGCTTTCAACAAGATGCTCTTCACAGTAGACCTCTATCCAGGAAATTATTCATTCCTAATACTTTACAGTTTGGGATGTGGCATAAAAGATTAAAATGTGGTAAAGTGCATAAATGAGGCACTTAAACAGCAAGACAACTTGAAAAAAAATAAACAAAAGCATGTGTAGGTGCATACACTGACATAAAACCTCTCTCCATTTTTTATCACCATTACAAATGCACAAACTCCCCTTGTTTCCAAATCCAGGCTGGAAACTGCCACCCAGTTCTTCTCCTGTTTTCCTGCTCACATAGGACATATTACACTGACAGCTGACGGGGTGAAAGCCATGTTAGCTGGAGAAAGATACCTTCACTGTACTTTCTAATATGAGAACGACACCAGAATGCTGGGTGGTTCTTTGGATGTCGGACCAGATTCTGCTGCCACCCCTCCCAGGATACACCTGCAAGTCCTTCAGCATTACCCTTCCTTCAACAATTTGACTGTTTTCTCCCTGGAACAGTTTATTCGTCCTTTTCAATATATACTAAGAGCTCTATTTTATCTGATCCAAAACTTCAGGAACAGTCCAAGCAGTTATTAAACAAAAATAAATACATCACTTGCATATACTAAAAGGGTACAATAAATCTGTCTAACACTTTTACAAAACTAAATTTGTTTTCTTGAATGGAAAACATACAACAGCAGAGGGGTATTTGAAGTAAAGGCTTTGTAGGATAAATGCTGAAGGAGCTAACATAGACATAACTCAACATCAGAAGAATCTTGCAGGTATAAATCTAGTTACATCCAGTGCTTGAAAACAAACTATTCTGTTTTATTGTACAAATTCCTGTACTTTTATGGAAATTATTTTTGAATGCGTCCTGGCCATCTCAATCAATTCTGCACTATTAAAACAGGTTTCCAAAGTTGTACATCCCTCCAGCAAACCAGCCACACAATTCCTCAGCACAGAGTTACTCAAGTGAACATCCCACACTGTAATTTTTCCCATTTTTCTGTCTCAGAGAAGAATGCTCAAAAAGTAAAAAAAAAAAAAAAAAGATGACATGAAGCCAAGTAACATACTCTACTCAAGGCCAAGTGACCACCACTGCACACCCTTTCAAAAGACACTTTCACAATTCTCAGCAACTGAAACAAACACTAGATAAATTCAGTGTGAAAAAAACCCATTAGATAACAGGTTTCTAATAATTTTACTACTTCCCCAACAGGGATAATTTTTTCCAGATCAGAAACAGAAAATGCCATTTCACAAGAATTAAAACTTCTCATATGAAAATGCAAGCCTAAGAAAGATTTTCTTGTTTCTCAAGTCAAGGACAAGAAATAATGTCTTTCCAATGGTGCAACACACACATCTCCAGTAAAACAAACCACTCTTGCTAGGAGGTAAACCAGAGACCTTTCATCCTACAACTACTATGTGAAGAGAAGGAGACAACATTCACTCTGCAGTTTTTAATGCTGTGATTTTGGTCAAAGTAGTTAATGAAAAGCTAAAGGAAAGGCAGGGTAAGATCATCATGTATAGCAACATATGGATCTGCAACTGGAGAGGAAAAAGATAATGCATTAGCTGACAAGGTTCTTCCTCAAAAACTTACTGACTGCTTACTGGTTTACTCAGGAGTTTTTTCTTTTTTTGTCCACTGAAGTGAACAGGCCTTACTACGACATTAGATCACCCCTTTGTTCTCTCCATCTATCTGAAATAGTAATGGTTATGAAAATACTTCAAAAACTTTATTTTC